GAATTCTTCACACTTATTATACATCTAATACAATAATATAATACTTTAAAGAACACTAAAATACATACAATACGTAGTACAATATTATTTAATTTAAGGCATGCCTACTAAATGCAGAGGCCCTTCACAGACTACTGATCAGATCGCTTACAACACTCTTACTAGAATTTAATCTTCACATAAAATACTTGATGTTTAAAAATATGAAAAATATACATGCAAATTTGTGCAAGGTTCCCCCACTAAAGTAAACAGTCCATTTTACAGTAAATTATCAATAATAAGTGATACCGATTACAATTACCTTCCATGAAAGAAACTGAATATTTCAATGATCCAAATCGAGTAAAATCGCGGCATTTAACCCTGCGTCGGCACGCTGTACTTCCTTCTGCGAATCGATTGCCCCTTTCGAAAGTATCCTCTTCCTGCTCCCGCCGCTCCTTTCCGTTCCAATTGAAGGAGCACCTTCACATCGTGTGGCAATGGACAACATTTTTTAGGCACTAGTTTGTCAACCTGTTTTATGAACAGCGTCACTTCTTCGAGGCTCTTTTATATTTCTCGAAGAAGTTTCCAATATCTCAGCGGAGCAGTTCGGAAACTACTAGCGTTTACCCACAAAATAATAGTTATGATTATGATCATACTTTAGAGAAAATTCATGTTTTAAAGCCATTGCATTTACCACTGCCAAACGGTATTTGCAATTATTGTTTCTACCGCTCCTACAGCTTGGATAATTAAAGGTCACACGAAAAGAACAAACGCGCTTCCAAACGGCAAATACATGTTTTATGAATTCGATTTAAACGTTAAGAAAAAGGAAAACGATAAATAAATGGCATAAAGCTCAAATAAGAAAAATAACTTATAAATTATTGTTACTTATAAATGTACATTGTTTTTTGAATTGATACGAAAATTGCATTTTGAAATGTTTCCGTGAATTAATTTCTATCAGTCACTCTTATTTCACTATTATGTATAACTTTTTTTTAGACACCCCCGCTCCTTGAGAAGTAGTTGTAATAGTAGTACTACTAGTAGTAGTAACAGATGTAGATGACACACCGGCTAACATCCTCAAAATGTTATTTTTTGATTAATGGAATCTCCTATACAACGTTCGGCAATAGAGGAAAATAGCCTAAAAGTAGCGTTTCATCTACGTAATTCACACTGTTACTTTTAATCCAACTCTCAAACACACCATAATCATTTTCATATATTTCCCGAGATTTTGTGCGAAACAAACAGCAGCTTTTTTAGCTTTTTCGAGAATTTCCGCAGAACTTCACAATATTCTATCATATTTTACGAACAAGTCTAACTGCGATCATGCAATAGTGAATAGACACTTTTTTTACGATGCCTTATAACTGATTCTCGTTTGTTTCAGCAACGAACCAGTAAACCATAAAGTTTTGTATGCATCAAGGACATTACTTGATGTTTTTGCTCCTCAGGAGACTTCCAACCCCTCGGATCAGAGGCCCCTGGGGATTGAAGGTCGCCCTCGGGGCAAAACATCTACTTAAGACCATAGATACACAAATTACTATTAAGTTCGAAATGCATCTCGGTGAATGTCAAAATATACAATTTTTACAATGAGGCGAAGAAACGTCCTCGAGGCTGCTGTGCTCACACGCATTTGCGTGCCGCGTGAGACGCAGTGGCCACCCCTGGCGCATTTCGTGTTTGTTTACTCAAAAGAAAACAGGAAGACGATGTTTACTGCGAGCTTTTCGCAGACGCTCGCGGTCCGGCTGGCGTCCCGTTTGCACAAAGCACAATTTGGTTGCGCAAAAGTCTTCAAGCTGGCTTTTTGAAAATTTTGAGTCAAGTTAGAACTTTATTTTTCTTTTCCAACAGTCACAGTTCAATGCAGACTTTTTGTACAGATAATCGTCAACAGTATTTTAATAAGAACTCTCAAAAAAGTTGCTATATATCACATCTCAAAACTACTAAAAATTTCAATCGTGAACAAATATTAAGTTTGCAACTCCTAATTACAAATTTAAAACATAACAAAATATTAAGGAAATTAACAAATGCTTCTTTAGGCACCTACATTTCATTTCGTGGGTACCTTGAACTCCTGCTATTCCTTTCTCATAGTTCAGGCAGTATCAGAGAATCCAATTCCTCAATAATTTGTATCTCGAATTTCTTATAATAACGAAGTCGTCATTCCACTGTTATGTTAAGTAATATTCACATTTGACTTAACTAAAAAGTAGCTGCACAACACTAGTGAAGAAATGATTCATTATATTAGTAAATTGTATTAGCATTCTTTATAATGCTTATTCTTTTTTATTTTCTCGTATCTACTAAAGAAAGCCATAATTGTGCAAAATACGAAACAGAAACCGAATAAATTTTTTTATTTCCAAACCGTCTGTCGGTCAGTCTGTTGGTCGACTAGCTCCAAAACAGTCCAATTGATTTTAATTAAAATGCATATCCCTTGATCGATCTAGCTGATGTCATAATCTCTTCAATTTGCCATGAATATTTTAAGTTTTTGTGCTTCTATACACGAACCCGAAGCGAATATTTTCCAAAAAAAGTATCATTTTTTACTTTCTCTCCTACTACGTACTTACGTAGTATAAAAGTATTGCAAAGTTTGAGCGGGAAGTGGAGGTTTTACTGTAAAAAACAAAAACAAAAAAAAAAACGTTTTGTGGGGACCTATATTGCACAAAAATTTATAAATCGTGTCCCTTTATGTAGTAAATTACTTCCTCCAACAGGTTGGGTAGTCAAAATCAAAGTTTTGTGGGCTTTTGATACCGAAAAATTGTTTACGGCAAAACGTCTGACTGTCCATCAGTAGTCAACGCTAGCGCTAAACCTCTCAGACGATTTTCTCCAAAACTGATATTTCCTGTTCGAACTGAGCGAACTCTAGGACCTGTGAATTGTAGACGAATTTTACAAGATTTCTTGACAATATTTTCAATTTTTTTCAAACATGGCTGTGAATTTTTGGATTAATTTCCCCACTCAGATAGAGTAAAGGGCGCTTAAAAAATTGGCGCAGACTTCATTACATAAAATATGTTCTTCAAAGAAAGATCTTTAAATAAGGCGTGTACAAGTTTTCAAAAATGAGTTGTTTTCGTGTAAAATACAATATAGAAAAATATTTTCTCACAACGGTTCCAATTTTTTCTTTAACTTTTCCCCTCTGCATTTTTTAAAATTAAGAAAAACATTGATTATATAATTTTTCTTAATATAATCCGCTCTAAAATTATATCTTTACAAGATCAAGTACAATATTTTGAAAATATTAATATTTTTTGCGTAATTTTTTCTTGAAGGCTATTTGCAAAAAAAATTCAAAAACTGATCAACAAGTTTTCTTTGCATAGCGCAAGAGTCGCTTAAAAATTGGTCAGATCCCTTTTTGGCGAACACTATTTTCGAAAATTGGACAAAAATTAACAAAGCAAAACTTCATTAGTGACGATAGATATTTTTGGCCTAATGAAATGTTTTTTTAAATTTAAATAGGCTAATGGAGATTTTTTGAAATTACGAGTACTTAAAAATGGCCCTGTACACAGAGCCAATGTAATACACAAATATTTCATTTTGATTTATATTGAATGTACAATTACAATGAGAATCAATTATTAGATGTTCTAAAGCTCAGCTCACAAATCAACTATCAATTTTATTATTATTATTATTATTATTATTATTATTATTATTATTATTATTATTATTATTATTATTTGTAATCAATATTTCCCCTGTTCCCATTCGCCTATTGACTTCCAGTAGATCACTTAACCATCATTGACCTCCTATGAAATAGCCCGAAGGGATCGATACAGACCCCCATTGGAACCCTGATCTAAACGGTGGTGTTCCCGATTAAGACTTCCCTAAAAAGATGAACTTACTCTGGTCGCTAAACGGATCTGAATACATGTACAGTATTTATTTGGGTACAGTAAGTTTATTGAGAACACATAATGCGAAATATTAGTTGAGAAGAGGGAAATTTCCCCTTCGAGGATTTTACTCCGAATTATCCTTACGGTCACTATTTCTCAAGGGGGAATGTTATTTACTATGTATATCCACTCAAACGACAGAAACTAAAATATTGCCCACATTCACATGATGAACTTTAACACAATTCGTAATCGCTCATTAGCTCGAAATGCCAAATCTGGGAATATTCGATAAATTTTACTGCTTAGAACATTATAATTAAATACATAACAATATTCCGACAAACTCATAACTTTCCAATTTTGAATAATTTTGTACCAATCGTAACACCCCAAGTTTCCTTCAAATGTTCATAAATAAATAAACACAAGAAGAAGCAAAACGATTCACAGAAGCTAACTGTACTGTCATATAAAATATGCGAATTTCAAACGCAAAATGCAAAAATCAATTTTTTTTTCATTTTTATTTTATTCCCAATTTAAAAATACGATTTGATGCGCTTAATTTGTCCTTGCTAAGGCGTTCAGTACAGAGTTTAACATGTGAAACCACACCCGCCACTCACCCACGTACATGTGTGAGCGCATATTCACATGCGTACACAGACACACACAGACGTGCTCTGAACATTCAGACGCGCTAATGCGTTATATACGCAGAATATGAAAACATACCATCTGGAGCAAGAAACGATAATTTGTTGTTGGTCATTCTTACACAACATAAATACTCATGCTGATTTATGAATATAATATTAATTATCGACATATTGCTGTAGCAAACGTATCTGTAAATTAATAACCACGAATCAGACTCGAACGAATTTCGTTTGTAAATCGCGCGGTTGCATTCCGAAATCTAATAGTAACTACTTGTAAACATCACGGGAAAATTTACAAAATAATTTTAATAATTCAAAAAATGAATTGTACTACTTTCGTTTCTCACCTGTCATTATTCTAACCTTACTCTAATAAAATAAGGTCACACAAACCCTTACAATATTACTATACCTTTCCAGCACCTTCTTCATATAAACTATTCATCTCAACTAACTTGTCGGAAGAAAGCGGCGACGTGCGGTACCTCCATTCAAACAAAATGTACCGTCAACGTGTGCCCAACTTCATGAACTCGAACAGAACTCCACAGAACTCGACGGTGAACGGTGACAATAAGTCAAAAGTTGTGACGTGCGGAGAAAACGCTATCTGGTGGGACCGTCCAGAGATAACCCAATGGAAGAACACAGGCGTTGGTCACCGTCGTGTCCTCTACTACGAAAATCAACAGCGAGTAACGCCGGAAGCAGTGTATTCTCGTCAAATGCAAACAGCAATCCAGTTTATGTTACGAATGCGGCTTATATGACATCGAAATTAGACCCAATTCTGGCCCTGGTAACGATTAGTTTCTTTTTTTCCCTGGTTGACTTGTTGGTGTATTAGGGTATGAGAATGTTATTTTTTTCTGATTAGGTAAACCTTTACTGGAACAGTTGGGAGTTGACGAAAGTCGAGGGCCTGTACAAGGGGCATATGAAAACTACAATGCATGAATGCAGTTCTTTTGAGACGTGGCCTTTATCATTGAAACCACGACGGAAAGAACTGGTAGAAGCAGGCTTCTTTTATACAGGTTATTTTTTTTATTAAAACATGGAATTTGATTATTATAGTGTTAAAATTTTTTTTGAGAAATTTGTGACACGTCCAGCTTTATTTATTTTTGTATAGTTTCGTGTTTTCAAGGTATTGAGAGTGAACGTTACTGTATTTTCCTTACAGGTAAAAGTGATCAACCATTATGCTTCAATTGTGGATGTGGTGTGAGAAATAGGGAGCCAACCAATGATCCTTGGATAGAGCATGCAAAATGGTCCTCTCAGTGTTCATTTGTAGTTATGAACACAGGAAAAGACTTCATACAAAAGGCAATATCCAAAGAACAGCCTTTGTTACAACCAGAAGTGAGCATTTAATTATCTTAAAAAATGCTGACTGCGTGTTCAGTTAAATGTAAATAAGCATGTTATCTATTGAACTGTTACAACTTGAACACAGTGCTTTAATTTTTTACAGGACATCAAAAACCTTATGAAACAAACATTGAAATCTGTAAATTCTTGGCAAGTAGCAATAGATTTTCACTTTATCATTATACTGTTACAAAATTACCATCGCCATCTAGGCAAGACATATAATTATTTTTTAAAAATCATCAATAAATTTAATTCTAATTATAGTTTAAACAATACGACTGTTTTAGATCTCATTAAACTAATATTTTTCACTTTAAAATTAAATCAAGATTTTAATGATATAAAAAAAAGAAAATCTAAAAAAAAATTTGAGGAAATAACGAAGATTTAAACATTTATATTGCAGATTTAGTCAAAGAAATAAATAAATTATTAACAATTATATTTAATAATTTAAATAATACATTTTCTTCTAAACAACTAAATTTAAAAGAAACATTAAATTTAATATACGGTTTGAGATAACGTACCATATTATAATTATATTTTTAAATTAAAGGAACATGGCGGCGATGGTGTAACGATTAGCGTATTGGACTGGTATGCCCAAGTTGGTGGGTTCAAACCCGATCGAAGCCGTGGATTTTTAAGGGCGAAAAAATCCTTCGGAGGGGAAGTAAAGCTGGCTGTCCCCTGTTTGTATATTTACTCGCCCAAGAAATACCTCCTTCCTCTGCTAATTGGTGAAAGGAGCGTAGCGAAATTTGCGTGGTCAGACGGAAGAGCGGGTCTGATGGCCCGAGTCTCGCCACGTAAAATAAAGCATTAATTCAATTCAATTCACTTTTTACAATTCACTTTTCAGAAGAAAGAAATATACTTAATATATTAAATAATTATAATATTAAATTTAGTATATGCAATCTTTTCTATGTGTTCAAAATATATTAGAAAGTATCGAGGACGAGATTAAAATTATCAATTGAAAAATCTCTTTCAATTGATAATACAATTAATAACATGAGGAAAGCTATCATTATAATCTTATCATGGGTTGAAAAAATGTTGGAATTTAAAATACCAAACAAAATAATATTTGTGTTGCTGTCATATTTTCTTTCTATTTTTGGTGTGGGACCTCTAGATTTCATAAGTGAAAATGTGCCATTTGTTTCGGTAAATCCGCTTGAAAATTTCAAACAATTTCAAAATTGTTTCCAAAGTGAACAAAAAAAAGGAGAAAATTAAGATTAAAGGGGAACAACAATTAAATGAAATTTCGATTTTCATAAATTAATAAACGACAATTGTTATAAAATTGCTGATGGTGGTAATGGTAATGATACTTGTACAAATTATATCTTACCATATATATTACTATAAAAAGTTCGAAATTTGGGCAAAATTCTTCTTCAGAAAATACTATCTTTCCAGATGACTCTGTCGGTTTAAAAGTGCCTAAATCTCAAAGACCAGAATCTTTAGATACTCTAGATTTTATTCCCCC